GTACAAGGTGAAGATGGAGGAGATCAGTCAGCTGGAAGCCGCCGAGAGCATTGCCTTCCGCAGGCTCTCTCTCCTGCGACAGAACACTGTGAGCACACTTTGTGTGGTGGGGTCCTCAGTGGGTGTGGTTGGGATATGGCCTGGGTGGGAGTGGCCCGGTGAGCAGGGCTTGAGTGTCAGGGCAGGATCTCACTTCGCTTACCACACACCCCTGGCAACATGCAGTTTGGTCAGGGGCCACTTCCTACGTCAATCAAATGATCACCACCCTCTCTGTCTCTTTGCTGACTGACCTTCTCAGGGCAGTGGGAGATTTGTCACCCACTTGGTGGTGTTTCATCCTCCAGCCCTGGTCCTTGCTGACTCGGGCCCTACCCAGAGGGAACTGATCCCACAGAAGTGGCCCCAGAGTGGGAGATTTAAGATGGTGGGTCCTGGGGTTCCATGGGAGAACCCTGTCCTTGCCCCATGGTCAGATGTGGCTCAGTGATCATAACAACCGGTGTCTTCGTTATGGTCCCATGTGGTCACCCTCTATTCATCTCTCCCCCCAGCCATGGCCTCTCAAATTGGGGTTTTCGTCTCCCTATGAGGGGGTCCTGGTATGTATGCAATCGGTGGGCCCACCATGCATGTCTTCTATGCAGTGCATGCTGGGGTTCCCTTCTGCCCCTGAGGTCCTTGTAGAATAGGCCCATCATATCCTAACCTCTGGAAGTGCATGCCGGGGAGGCCTGTTGGCTGTTGACCACCTGTGCTGAGGACAACTAACCAGCTGTGCCTAGGACTCTCAATCCCCAAGAGGTCCCTGGAGAAGCCTCCCTACGCCCAGCCGTCCACAGCAGAACTAACCTTCCCTGGAGCTGTGCAAGCCGTCCTTTCTCCACCCATAAGCACTGACCCCACCCACCTGGAGGGACCGGCCAAACCTGCTGCTTCTCTGTTGCAGAACAAGAGCCCCACGGCCCGGGGAAGCGGCAGTGGCCCAGAGGAGCTGGGGGTGCTGCCAGAGGAGGAGGCAGCTGGCCACAACGAGGACCGGGAAAAGGAGATACTCATCGAGCAGATCCAATCCATCAAGGAAGAGAAGCAAGTGTCCCTCTGTCCCCTTCTTACCCTCATCTGCACCATCCAGCCCCCCGTCCATACATTCCTCAACTATGCATAGTGAACCTGGCCATTAGGGGGCCAATGGGCCACGCGCAGTCCTGCTGTCCAGTACCCACCTTGTGGAGTGCTGCTATCCTAAAACACAGCCTGAGGCTCTATTTCAATTTCATGCTTCACTACAGGGAACCATGGTGGCCCACTGGGAGAGAAAGGGCAACAGTGGTGATGTTCAAACTTTGTCTCCAAAGTGGCCTTAGCTAGCTAGAATGACACATTAATTTGTGTCCACTTGAGATGAGTGTGAAAGGGGGCTCTATTTAAAAATTATGCCAGGAGCCCTTGCCAGTTTGGCTTAGCAGTTAGAGTGTCGGCCCAGGGACCAGAGAGTCACAGGTTTGATTCCAGTCAAGGGCACATATCCCAGTTTCGGTTCAATCCCCAGCCTTTGTCAGAGTCATGCAAGAGGCAACCAATCGATGTGTCTCTCTCACATCAATGTTTCTCTCTACCTCTCCCTCTCTTCCCTTCCTCCCTCCCTCCTTCTGACCCTCCCACTCTATCTGAAAATCAAAGGAAAAATATCCTCAGGTGAGGATTAAAGAAAAAGAAAATTATACCAGGAGAACACATGTGACCCAAGGCACCTGGCCACCCTAAGTGTTACAGGGTAGGGCACTCCAGGCAGAGGAAACAACATAGGCAAAGTCCTAAGGCAGGAGCTCCTCACTCAGTATTGGGCCGGATACCTGACTTCCCCCAGTGGCCTGACACCTTCTTCCTGTGAACTTTGCAGGGCTGGGGGCATTTGGGACCAGGTATGCTTTGGAGGTGGGAGATTCTGGAGGCAGGGAATCCCATCCAGTACCAGGATGGCCTGCTCTGTCCCCTACTGTCCTGGCATTTTTTGTGGGATTGTCTTTCACCATGAGAACAGACTTGAACATGTGAACCCCCCTCACCCCCAGGGAGGATATCACCTACCGGCTGCCAGAGTTGGACCCTCGGGGCTCTGATGAGGAGAACCTAGACTCAGAGACATCAGCCAGCACTGAGAGCCTATTGGAAGAGCGGGCTGGGCGGGGGACCTCGGAAGGTCAGTATTAAGGTAGCGTCTGCTTTTTTCCTCCCATGTCCACCCCCGGCAGGCCCCCTGGGCAAGGGTCTGTCTGCTAGCCCTGAAGCTGCAGTAACCCTGCCATCTGTCTCTCAAAAGGGCCCCCCGCACCTGCTCTCCCCTGCCCCAGTGCACCCGCCCCAAGCCCCCTCCCCGAGTTGGCCGCCCTTCCAAGACGAAGGCCGTCGTCCTTCATGACGGTTAGAGTGAAGACCCCCCGGCGGACCCCCATCATGCCCACGGCCAACATCAAGCTCCCACCTGGCCTGCCCTCCTACCTTCCTGGCCAGGCACCAGGTGCCCAGGAGGCTGTCACCCCAGTAAGACGCCGGGAGCCACCTGCCCGCCGCCCGGACCAGGTACACTCTGTGTATATCACGCTGGGCGCACACCTGCCTGCACAGGGCATTCGGGAGCCCCTGGACAAGAACAACCAGCCACCTGGGGCAAAACGGAGGTACTCAGATCCCCCAACCTACTGCCTGCCCCCCACCTCAGGCCAGGCCAATGGCTGAGGTCCCACAATGCCAGAGTCCGAACATCTGAGGATGGCCCTGTGACAGAGCTCCAGGGCCAGCATTTGGCTCTCCAAGAATGACCTGGAATGAAAAGTTCCAAGAGCAGTGTGAGGTGGGCACTGGCTCCAACTGCAGAGTCCAAGCAGGGAGAAGCCAGCCAGGGCTGAACCCCAACTTCATACAGATGCGCCGCCCAGAGCCCCAGATCCTGGCAGGCAGCCTGGCCTCCTACCCGCCCACCCCTTTTGTACGGTTTTATAGTTAACTGTTACTTTATGCCTGGTTTACATAACTTTAAACTGTAACAGCCTTAACAGAAGACCAAGTTGTTTTTTATATGTGTATATACAAACTTTTATATTAATGCCCGACCTCGCCTTTATAACCTGGACACAGACTTCAGAGCGAAACCCACATAGCCACCTCATCTTGGAGGCTCAGGCGCACAATGAGGACAGCTTGGACCAGGGATTTGAACCCTTGTGGCACCTGACTGCCCCCAGTCTGTCTGGGTCTCATCCTCAGGCCTGGCCAGCAGCCACCTAGCCCATGTGCATTCAAAGGAGCAGTGGAGCCTTCCATGGTGATCCAGACTGTTGGCTGGAGTGAGGACATGAGGTGAAGGGGCAGCCTTCACCTGGGGCACCACAGACCTCACATCCAGGGTGACTCTAATGTGGCCATCACTCTGTCCACTGTTCTCTGAATGGAGGAGACTGCCCTTGGCACTGCCTGCCCCGTGTGGCAGAACAGGAACTCAGGACTGCTCATGAGCAAGAAGGGCAAGCCCTGAGTTTGCACATCCTATAGTGAAAGCTTGGAGATCTCCAGAGTGGGGCTCCCCTCTTTCAGGCTCCACTCACTCCCTGGACACCTGAACAGTTGGCCCCAGGGTTGGGACTAGAGGTGTCCTACAAACTAGAGGTGTGAAATAAAGAAAAAGTGCCTGAGAGGTGTTTGCATGCAATACCTGCTCCAGGTTGGAGGAGCATGGGCCAGCAGGGTTATGGCCTCTTCTGGGAAGACCTGCCTTGATCCTTCAGCAAACACTGCTGTTGGAATTTCACACGTATCCATCACCTGAGGGAGTTTGGCCAGCTGGAGGTACATGCCTATTGATCCAGAAACCAGAGAAAGCAGGGAGTTCCAGGAGCTGCATTCAGTGAAAAGAGCCTGCTCTCCTGGGAGCTGCCTCTTGTCACCTGTTTCAGCACCCAGCCTACTCCAACCGGGGCCCTGAGAGTGGGGGGCAATTGTTGGTGGGCCTCACAGAGCCAGGAGCAACCTCCCGACACACAAGCTCCCAGGCTGCAAACATAAGGGCAGTTGTGGGAACTGGCTGGCAGTTGGGGCCCATGAGGGTGAGCAAACAGTAGGAACTGGCTAGCAGGTGGGGGACAGTGAAGAACTCTAGTACAGACTACACATGCAGGAGAGTTGGGGGACTTGTCCAGAGTTACATACTGGGATGGGACATGGCTGGGATTCAAAACCTGCTGGGTCTGCCTCTATCCATTCTGGGTTTGGTCTCATCCTTTGTATCCCGTGAAGACACCAGGCCCACTGGTGTGATCAGAACAGAGGTGACCTGAGGGCTGGGAAAATAAAGTGGTTGTGTTCCAGGGTTGTCCCTGGGAAGCGTCCATCTTCACCCTGTCTGCTCCAGGAGGGGATTGCAGGATAAGCCTTGGTTCCCTGGGAGGCCGGGTGGGCTGGAACTGGGTTCTTTCTTAGGGGTGACCCAGCCCCATCTCTTGCTCAAGGACTAACCTCTGTGCCTCTTGAAGCACTGTCCCACTGCCCATTTCCCAAGAAGGGGCAGGAGGATTGAGTCAGAATCAGGGCTGGGACCCAGAAGCTCATAACCACCTAAGTTTGGGTGGGCCCCCGAGCCATGGGTTTGTAAATCCAAGGCCATGACCTCTCCCCTCCCAAAGAAATTGGGAAAGCTGCTTGGATGTGGGAGAGTTCGGTGTGGGAAGAACCCAACCAGGAGTGAGTGCAGTAGAGGAATTTTGAACAGGGGGGAAAGAATGAGCAAAGGACTCCGTGCACGTGCGCCTGACACCAAAGAACCTGGTCTTCATAACCCTTCATTAAGGGTAAAGATGCTCACGAAGAAAGCTGGCGATTCATCCTTGAGTAAATGTGGAAGGGATGGCCTCTTATAAAACAAGACATTACTCCCGCCCTCACGATGGGACAGCAAACGAGATGGGCACGCCCACCCGGAAGGAGGTCAAATGAAGGCACTTCCGCCCTGCCTTAAGATGGCGGCGGCGGAAGGGGTGGAGGACTGCTAGTTTGTGATGGTTGCGTCGAGGCTGGAGTTGAACCTGGTCCGGCTGCTGTGCCGCTGCGAGGCGATGGCAGCAGAGAAGCGGGACCCGGACGAGTGGCGTCTAGAAAAGGTGGGCGACCTTGCATTGCCGCTTAGAGCTCCATTCCCGTAGGGCAGTGCCCGGGGCCCGCAGTCGGACCCCGCCGCCCCGCCAGCCGCTCTGGCGACGCCCCGGCCTGTGCGCTCGGCCACCTCCACCCGCTATGTCCGCTCTGGGCCTTGGGGCTCAGCTGGCCCTGCCTCCTTGACATTGGCCCCTTCAGTTTCCCAGCCTCGCCAGGTCCTAGCCCCAAGCTCGCCTTGGCTCTGCTCACTTAGAACAAGATGGGGAGGAATGGGGTACCCAACTGACACCCACTTTTTCTCCCCAGTACGTGGGAGCCCTCGAGGACATGCTGCAGGCCCTGAAAGCCCAGACGAAGTGAGTGCAGGCGTACAGAGGGCTTCGTATCCGTGGGTGGGGGAGGAGGATTGGGGGTGGATTAGAGGCCACAGGGGCAAGTTCTCTTGGGGAACCCGTAGTCTTCAGGCCCTGCCGGGACCCTTTCCTGAACTGAGGATAGGGGGCAAGTTTTCTTTTTCTACGTTTCACCATCCAGCAAACCGGTTTGTGAGGTGATCAATGAATATTCCCGCAAGGTTGACTTTCTGAAGGGGATGCTGCAGGCAGAGAAGCTGGTGAGCACAGGAACCTCTCTTCCTCAGCCCTCACCTGGTTCTCCTGAGTCCCCAGGAACCGCTTCTGTTGTGACACCTACTCCCTCTTCTGTAGACCTCCTCCTCAGAGAAGGCACTAGCCAACCAGTTCCTGGCCCCTGGCCGAGTGCCAACCACAGCCAGGGAGCGGGTGCCTGCCACCAAGACGGTTCACCTGCAGTCCCGGGCACGGTACACCAGCGAGATGCGGAGTGAGCTGCTAGGCATGGTAGGGCTCCCTTCCTGGTCCTTGGGAACCCTTCTGTTGGGGACTGGAGTTCAGTGCCTGAGAATGGCTAGAACAACAAATACTATCAGATACAGGGACCCCAGGGGTCTCTGCCTTAGGTATAAAACAAGGCTTCCCAACAGAGGGGCATTCTGGCCAGAGTTTTTTACTAGAGAAATGGGAGTTTGTTTGGTACAAGGCAAAAGTGGCACATGTTTGGTTAAGCCACAGAGTTGGCCCAGTGCAAGATTTGGCTCCTGGCTTGCCACTTGCCACATGCCACAGATAGACAAGTTTTTTTTTTTAATCCTCACCCAAGGATATTTTTCCATTTTTTTTTTTTTTTTTTTAGATAGAGTGGAAAGAAAGGAGGGAAGGAGAAAGAGAGAGAGGAACATCAGTGAGAAAAAGACACATCGACTCCAACCTGCAACCCAGGTACACGCCCTTGACCAGGAATCAAACCCACGACCCTTTGGTCCATGGGCGAACACTAACAGCTGAGCCAAACTGGCCAGGGCAAGACAAGATATTTTATCTGTAAAGTAAGATGACAGGTACCTTTCTGAGCACTGTACATAGATCAACTAAACTGTTCAAAATATGAGCTGTTGTCATTACCAGTTAATAGATGAGGAAACTGAGGCTCAGATTTCAGGACTTGCCTAAGGCCCTGACTAAGGGTGCAAAGGCTCTGAGAGTAGAAAGGACTTGTTTGAGGACATGACAAGGTGGGTGACTTCTTGTCTGTTCCTTTTTCCCACAGGATTCTGCTGGAGGTGAGTTGCTCTGAGCAGAACAGGACTCAAGTCCCATTTGCCTGGGACATGACATATGTCCTTGCTGCTCCCCATCCCTGGTGCCTCACCTGGCTACCTCAGGATCCTGCATAGCCCAGGAAGTGTCCATGGGGGCATCACCAAGTCATGTATGGAAGGAGCAGCTGGGACAGAGGAGAAGTGGTCCCCAGAGGAAACAGGAGGGATGAACCTGGGGCCAGGGGAAGCCCAGATGGGGGTGAGGAAAACATCCCAGACAAGAGGTCATTTGAGCTAGAGTTTTGAGACATGACCTCAAAGAAGCCTGCTGGGCAGCAGACAAGTTGGGAAAGGGCCTGTAGGTAGCAGACCAACACCAGATAATAGTCAAGAAGTTAAAAAACAGAACCAATCCTCTCCTCTTTTATGCTTGCCCTGTTCCTCTTCCAGAGCCCAAGCTGGACATGAGGAAGAGGACGTGAGTGTCTTAAGCCCTTGGGCAGCACTGGTGGGGAGGAGGGCTGGACAAATGTTGGACCACTGAGGAACCACCACAAGCATGTAAATCACCAGTCTGACACCACTTCTGGGAATGCTTTACCCAAAAGCCAAAGCAAAGAAGGGGAAATTGAGCCCCAAGTAGGGTGGTGGCTACAACCATAACCTCTGGGTTCCCTGGGAACATGTTTATCTCGTCCCCTCCCCCACACCATCTCATGTCTACCTGTCCATGTGTGAGGTCAGCGGGGTGGCAGGTCCCAGGCCAGGGGATGAGAAGCAGTCGGCTGCTGAGCTAGACTTCGTCCTGCAACAACACCAGAACCTCCAGGAGAAGCTGGCAGAAGAAATGCTAGGCCTGGCCCGGAGCCTTAAGACCAACACACTAGCTGCTCAGAATGTCATCAAGAAGGACAACCAGGTATGAGGACTATGGGAACTTCGCAGCTTCTGCCCCGGGGCATTAGAGGTTTCCCAGTAGAGGGGCATAGTGGCTGGGACTTGGCTGGATAAATAGGAATTTGGTAGAAGATAAATAGGAATTTGGCTTTCCCAGCAGAGGATGCAGCACCAGCAAAGGCCAAGAGGTGCTGACAAGAGGGCAGCAGGGGGAGACCACACTCAACCCCAGTGCTGTTTATACTCTCCCCACCTCACCCATAGACCCTGTCGCACTCACTCAAGATGGCTGACCAAAACCTGGAGAAGCTGAAAACAGAATCAGAACGGCTGGAGCAGCATGCACAGAAATCTGTCAACTGGCTGCTTTGGGCAATGCTTATCATTGTCTGCTTCATTTTCATCAGCATGATCCTCTTTATCCGTATCATGCCCAAACTCAAATAAAAGACCGGGCCCCACCCTGGCCAATTTGGATCAGCAGTTGGAGCATCACCCCAAGGACTGAAGAGTCACGGGTTCGATTCTGGTCAGTGGCACGTACCTTGGTTGCAGTTCAGTCCCCGTCCCTGGTCAGGGTTGTGCAGGAGGCAACCAACCAGTCAATGTGTCTCTCTCATATCAACTTTTCTCTCTCTCTCTCTCCCCCCCTCCCTCCCACTCTGTCTAAAAATAAATGGAGAGAAAATGTCCTCAGGCAAGGATTTTAAATAAATAAATACAACCCACCCTGTCTGTCCTCTATCTGCCCTCCACTCCTGTCTGTAGGTACCCTTTGGAATAGACAAGATGGGAAGGCTTGTGGAGGCCCCCAAGAGCCAGAAAGATTACCGGGGAGGGGGGGCAGGCTGGGAACAGGAGTAGTGGCTCAGCACCCTCTCATTTGCCCCTGGACAAGGTGGGGCCCCAAGAAGCCCCAGGAGCCCCCTGTCTGAGTCAGAGCCAAATACAGTGCCTTCAGCCTTGTGGAGGGTGGAGGAAACCATGTCTAGAGGTCAGCCTGGAGAAGGGAACATCGGTGCTGGGCCTTCCTTGGGATTAAAGGTGGTAATTTAGGATCGGTGCTCAGCATAGTCTAAATTCTCAGGGCACCTGCAGATGCACACAGACATTCAGCAAACAGGAGGGTCAGTGAAGACCCTGCCCTACCCAGGCTATATTCTGATCATTTCCCTCTTTTTTTTTTTTAAATCCTCACCTGAGTACATTTTTGCATTCATCTTCAGATAGAGCAGGAGGGAGGGAGAGAAACATTGACTGGTTGCCAGCCACACAACCCAAACTGGGGCCGAGGACAAACTGCAACTGAGGTACGTGCCCTTAGTGGGAACTGAAACCCGGACTCTCCAGTCCACAGGCCAGTGCTCTAACCGCTGAGCAAACCAGCCAAATCAGGGCTAGTCTGATCATTTCAGACAAGAACTGGAATGGAGGGCACTGGAACTGGAATCATGAGTGGCAGTGGGTAACTGTGGGTCCTGGCCTCTGCTGACGCCCACTTCAGACTTTGAGGGCAAAGCCTGTGAGGATTGTGTAGGGCAGCTCAATAAGAGAGGGTGGACAGGTGACAGGCACACGGGATGTGTCTATTTCAGACCCTTGGGAGCATGAGCAAGCAACTATGGGATGTGTACAGAGGTACCCACATTGGCAGGGATGCAAAACCACCAGGTAGGGCTTTAAAGTCGCAGCTTTTTATTTTATTTTTTTATCCTCACCCGAGAACATTTTTCCATTTTTTGTTCAGATAGAGTGGGAGGGAGAGAGAGAGAAACATCGACGTGAAAGGGACACCCAACCAACCAGGGCCGGGGACAAACTACAACCGAGGTACACACCCTTAGTGGGAACTGAACCCAGGTCTCTCTGGACTGCAGGCCAACACTCTGCTGAGCCAAACCGGCCAGGGCTATTTTATTTTTTCCTTTATTGATTTTAGAGAGAGAGGAAGGGAGAGGGAGACAGAAGCATTGATGAGAGAGAATATTGGCCACCTCCTGCATGCCCCCCACTGGGGATTGGGCCCACAATCTGGGCATGTGCCCTGACCAAGAATCAAACCAGTGATTTCTTGGTGAATGGGTTGACACTCAACCACTGAGTCACACCAGCCAGGCATAGAGTAGCAGCTTTTAAAAAAGATATCATTACCCTGGCTGGTTTGGCTCAGCAGTTAGAGCGTCGAACCTCAGACCAAAGAGTCATGGGTTCACTTCTAGCCAAAGGTATGTACTTTGGTTTCAATTCGTCCCCAGCCTTGGTCAAGGTTGTCCGGGAGGCAAGCAATTGATGTGTCTCTCACAATCTCTCTCCCTGCCCTGGCTGGTTTGGTTCAGCGGTTAGAGCGTTGACCTGCGGTCCAGAGAGACCCGGGTTCGGTTCCTGCTGAGGGCACGTACCTCGGTTGCAGTTTGTCCCCGGTCCTGGTTGGTTGTGTGGGTGGCAGCCACTCGATGTGTCCCTTTCACGTCGATGTTTCCCTCTCTCTCTCTTTCTCTCTTCCTCTCTCCCCCTCCCACTGTATCTGAACAAAAAATGGAAAAATGTCCTCGGGTGAGGATAAAAAAAATAAGTAAATAAATAAATAAAAAGCAAATACAGTCTTTATAAAAAAAAAAATCAGTGGAGCCCTGGCTGGTTTGGCTCAGCAGTTAGAGCGTCGGCCTGCGGTCCAGAGAGACCCGGTTTCGGGTCAAGGGCGCGTGCCTCAGTTGTGGTTTATCCCCAGCCCTGGTTGGTCGTATGGGTGGCAGCCACTTGAGGTGTCCCTTTCACGTCGATGTTTCTCTCTCTCTCTCTCCCTCCCCACTCTATCTGAACAAAAAATGGAAAAATGTCCTCAGGTGAGGATAAAAAAAAATCAGTGGAAAAATATCCTCAGGTGAGGATTAACAACAAAAAACAGGGTGAAATGGTACTTTGTACTGTTGCTGAACAGTATATACCAAATAGTATATAAAATAAGGAAGAGATGGAATTTTTTCTTCATTTAACTGAAAAACCTCAAGCCAAAGGCAGCACTGAGTTTAATGAGCAAATACTGAAAGTTATGCCACCAAAGTAAGGAAGTGAGGATGCCCACAACCGACCCATCCACTTCCCCCAGTGATTTAACATTACTTGGAGGTGTTGGTTATGCAACTAGACAAAATACATGAGACTGAAAAATGAGAAAAGAGGCAAAATATTTGTAGATGATTGTCTATGTGAAAAACAAACTAAAAAGCTATTTTATTTTTTTATTGAATTTATTGGAGTGACATTGGTTAATAAATTATATAGGTTTCAGGGGTACAATTCTATAATACATCATCTGTATATTGTGTGTTCACCACCCCAAGTCAAGTCTCCTTCCATCATTTATTTTTTTTAATATGTTTTTAGTGATTTTTAGAGGATGTGAGTGAGAGAAACATCCATCAGCTGCCTCCTGCACGCCCCCTACTAGGGATGGAGCCCTAAACTCAGGAATCTAACTAGTGACCTTTTGGTGCATGGGACAACACTCAACCAATTGAGCCACACCAACCAGGGCCCCTTACATCACCATTTAAAAAAGCTATTTTAGCCCTGGCCTCTTTGGCTCAGCAGTTAGAGGTAGGCCCACCCAAGGAAGGCTTGAGGGCAGATGCCTGGGTTGCAGGTTTGATCCCCAGTCCCAATGGAGGCAACGTGGATGTCTCTCTTTCTCCCCCCCCCCTTCCACTTTCTCTAAAAATCAATGAAAAAAATATCCTTGGGTGAGGATTAACAAAAAAAAAGAAAGGAGGGGGGAGGGAGGGAAGAAATAGGATCTCACCAGGAGACATTATGTGCTGCTTCTGGAGAAGGGTGGATGAGAAATTCACTTTTGCCCTGTCCATCTCTCCTATTGTTTGACTTTCTAAATAGACTTCTAGTTATTTAGAGAAATATTTTTAAATATTTCCTTGTAAATAGATTAAGTGCAAGTTCACCAAAACCACCAGTTTTCAGACAAGTAAACTGGTTCAGAAAGGGTGATTAAGCTCTTTGAGCTGTTCTCTATAGTCCCACAGGCCATCAATAAGTATCTGATGAATGAATAAATGATTGGGGGGAAAGGGGTGATTAACTGGCCCCAAACATGTCGGGGTCCACCAGGCTGGACTCAGAACTTAAGTTTCAAAGATTGTTGAGTCCACTTCCCGCGTCGCCAGACCCCGCCCCCGCCGCCAGCCCCGCCCCTGCTTTGTGGAGCGCCCCCACAGATTGGATCCAACCTGCACTTAAGGCTCAACTCGTACTCAGGCTGCTGGGAGAGTGGACCTAAGCACGGAACCCCGGACGCTGGGACAGGTGACGCTGGGCGGGAGCGCTGCGTGCAGCGCGTACCCCGGGCGGAGGTTCCCTGGGTCCTCTCGGGGTCGGTGTTGGTGGGCTCCGTGCGCCTCAGCGGGAGTCTGGAGCAGCGCGGGGATTAACGCGATAAACCAGGCCCGGGATGCGCGATGGCGTCGTAATTTGCATAGCGCCTTTTCCGGATACGCGACTGTGGTGCTCTGAGGACCAATCGCATGCGTCTATGCAAATATAGCCGGGCTGGGGAACGCGCCGGTGGCCGGAGAGTTGGCTGTCACCAGGTCCGTCCTTCAGGCGCGTCCTTCTTCTGTGTTCACAGGCAGCCCGCAGACCACCCCCGCCACGCGCGGGCCACGACGCCCTCCGCAGGGCCCGCCCGTCGGCCCCGGGATCCCCGACAGTCTCCTTCCCGAGGTCGATGCCCATCAGGGGGCCCCCCCACACCCACGGCTCCCGCCGGGAGGGCCTGCAGTTCTGCCCGCCTGGCCCCGGACCCCCGGTGAGTCTGAACTGGAGGAGGGTCCCCAGGCCGAACCTAGGCAGAAGAATCATTACCCCCAGTTTAAAAGATCCTTGAAACCAGCGTTCCTGTTCTCTGTGCTGACTGCAGCCAGGTGCCCACAGGGCAAGGCCCAAGAGGATTGTATTTGAGGATGAACTGCCCTGCCGGGTACTTCTGGGCACCAAGAAGCCTGTTGGATCCATCCCTGGGGGGCATATGCGTAGTCCCCACCCAGTGCCCGACTATAAGCTGTGAGTGTCCTCTGTGTGTTTACTGATGGCTTGGGACAGGGAAGGGGCACTGAGTCTGGGGCTTTGACAAGTAAATAAGAATTGACCAATTAGTACGAGAAGAGGGGCATTTTGAGCAGTGAGCCCAGCATGAGCAAAGAAAAACAAATTACACTGATTGGGGGAAAGGCAGGGGTTCTTTACACTCACACTCTGTCCTGCTTTCAACCACTCCCCACCCCCACCCCCGCAGTAAGTACCCAGCGGTGAGCAGTGAGATGGAACGAAGGTGTTATGCTGCTGTGTTCCAGGACCAGTATACAGAGTTCTTGGACCTCCAGCAGGAGTTGGGCTCTGCACAGGCTAAGCTCCAGAAGCTAGAGGCCCTGCTTACCTCACTGCCCCCACCCCGAAGCCAGGTCAGCAACCAGGTGGAAACCCCTGCCCCACAGCCCTTCCCGGTGGCCAGACCCTGGCCTTCAGCACACTCATTGGATCTAGATCTCCAAACTCTTCTTCCTCCAGACTGGCTGGGCACTACAGCACATGAGCCAACATTAGCCTTAAAGTGCTCTCTAGATGTGTCAGTGTGTCTCTCTGAACCTCCGTTTCCCCATCTATTCTTGGGTCCAGTACCCCCTAAATCCCCCTCCTCCTTCTCCCCTTGCAGAAGGAGGCTCAAGTAGCTGCCCGTGTCAGGAGGGAATTTGAGAAGAAGCGGATGGTGAGTCATGGCTTTCTGAATCCCCCAGTCAGGCCTTTGCACCCCTGACACTCCTATTAAGTGCCAGTTTTAAGGAAATAAAACCAAGGCTCAGAGAGGAAAAGCAAAGGGTCAAGCAGCTGAGGGCCATAGGCCAAACTACAACAAGGACTTCCCCAGCTCTCATCCTGCCAGGACCCCAGCTTTCTGGACAAGCAGGCTCGCTGCCGCTACCTGAAGGGCAAACTAAGGCACCTCAAGACACAGATCCAGGAATTCGACAACCGAGGAGACAGTGAGGACTCTGTGTACTTCTAAACATCCTGACAGACAGGCAGAGGAATACACTGGGGTGGGGTGGGGGGCAGGGGTCCCACCTTGCACTTGCTTCTCTACCTCCCAGCCTTAGCTCTTGCTCTTCCCTCCACCTAGGGTAGCTTTCCCTGATTGCAAATGCCTCAGCCTTTGAGGCTTAGCTCTGATGACCCCTACTCCAGGAATTATTCCCAGGACCCCCAACCCTGACTCCATAGGGGCCCTACATCTCAACTCATCCTCTGGAAGCAGGTCCTGCTTTCCAATCCCAGTGGAATAAACATGTCTTAAATATATACTGTGCATAGCTGCTTAACACTCAGTTGTTACCAAAACATTGTTCTTCCATTTTCCAGAGGAAAAAAAATCAAGGTTCCAAGATACGGCCTTGTCCAGGGTCTCCAGGTGTGGTGTGAATTCTTGTCTGTCCAGGGGGCTCCCTCTCTTCCAAGAGCCTCAAGTGGCCCTTTCGGTGGGAGAGAGTAGGTGATAAAGTCTTGCTGGGGTAGCCTCCTAGAGAATTCATGTGATGAGATGCTGAGGACCACGTGAAGTTGGCAGGGAGGTGCAGCCCATATCCTACAGGAGGCCCTGATACCAAACAAATAATTGGGTCCCTGCAATTTTCCACTTCTGGGCACTGCAAGCTGAATGGTGATTGACACTGGGCACTGTGTGAGCACAGTTCACATGCCTGGCCTTGGGCTAGGGTGTGTGGAACTGGTAGGGCCAAGCCTCTGTGGGGCCATGTGCTGGTAGCCCAGCAGCTGCCCTCTTTGAGTCTTGGCCTTCCAGGGAAGCTACACGGGACAGGGACAATCAGGGAAGCAGACTTCGGGCAAGAAAGGCAGTACCAGTCCCTGGAGCCACTGTCCTCAGGGAAGACAGCCCTGGGCCCAGTGTGAGAGCAATAATGGAGGCCCTTATGGCAGTCTTAACAACCAGGGAGACTCAAGATGACTTCTTGCAGAAAGAGCCATATGGGTAGGGTTTTGTAGAAGTTCAGCAGTCAGGCCTGGACAGACATCTGTCTCTAGCATGGGAACTGGAAACACAACAGATGCAGTGGTCTTGCTCAGTCCTCAGATGTCCCGTGAATCTGAGGAATGGGACACTTTGTCCGGTCCAACAACTGAAGTGAACATACATTCACTTACCCACAGGATATCTCAGAAGATGCTGACCCAGGGCAAGAACCAGTCTAGCCTCCCTGTAGCCTCTCCATCCTACTCCCACTTTAATCCTCTTCTGGGGGCAGGGCATACTCACAAGACCCTTGTTCAGTTCCTCAGGCAATGGCCTCACTTCCCCTTATCCCACACTGAGATGAATATGGGGGAGGCTAGTATGCTAATGGGGAGCTTTTGGGAGGACTCGACTGCCTTAAGGGCCAAGCACTGGCCCAGACTGCAGGGTGAGACCCAACTTCTTCCCTCAGTCTTCAAAGGGGCATCTTTGATAGAGGGTTTATCTCGATCTGGTAAGACCTCAGTCAAGGCCAAGATGCCACCCTCACCACCACCCAGGCCCTTTCAACCCACCCCCTAGAGCCACAGTCCTGGCAATAACTCCCATAGGCGCCTTTCACACCACAGAGCTGGGTAGCAAATTGAGGCCAGGATGGAAAGGTCCCTTGTGACCTGGTTCACTCTATATCAACTCAATTAAGTCGACATTTCAAAATCTGTCCTTAAAGGTCCCCACCTTCCAAATGCCAGTCTCTGAAATAAGTTTTTGTTGCATGTGGACTCAAACTGGCTCAGGCATAAAAGGGAAAGTCTGGGCTCATGGAACTGATACAACCAAGGGTTTCCAGGTATGGCTTGATCCAGGGGCTCCTAAGGCATTCTGGGACCTCCTTTGGCTCTTCTTTGATTATATACTACTAGTTCCAAATCCTGCCATCCAATCTCACTGGCCAGCTCTAAGCTACATGTGTTCCCCAAATCAATCACTGTGGCCAGGGGGATGGAGGACTCTGGGCAACTGTGACAGAGCTAGCCCCAGATGTTTTTCCTGAGGACACTAGGGCTCAGATGCCATGATTATAGGCTGACCAAAAAAAATGACGTTTGATCCAGGGCATGTGTGAATCTATGAGGCTCACTCTCTGAAGCCAGAGCCTGAATTTGAGCCTGAGCATCTGCTAGACTTAACTCCTACAGACTCACTGACTGACCTCAGCCCCCCACCCCACCCCAGTCTCAGTTCTCCACAACTCTGTCCAATACAAACAGCAAGCAGAGCTGTTGTTAGGTTGTGGGTTTTCCAGGTGGTGAGAGTGGGTCCTCATGGTAGGCTACCCTCCCCTCAGATGACGGAGACTGCAGGTAGGAAACACCTTTATTATTGGCCTTGATTCATTCACCATGTAGTGTCCAATGTGGATCGTGTGTCCAGAAGAAGCTACCTGGTACACGAGACTCTTGCCTGGCTGCAGCTGCCCTTCTAGTCGACACCAGACCGCTGTCCATCACAGCAGGGAAGCCAACCCCACCATCCCACAAGTTCATGCCTGAGGCACTGAGGGACAAGACTGTCCCAGGATTGGAACCTCAGTCCTTCCCCTCATCTTGGCCAGGAGTTTCTGGGGAGGACGAGTCCAGAGCCTGGATGATCAGTCACTTTTTGGTTTCATGATCATTTAAAAAACAGAAAAGACAAACATTTCACAGTCTTTAAAAAATAGAGGAGTCTGAGGAGAGAGGCTGGGGTCCTGTCTGGGGATACCCCCTGAGGCTTGAGCAGCCACATCCCTTGAGGTCTGCAGACCTGGCCATGGTGCCCTGGCTCCTGTCCAGTCACTGGCCAGAGCCGTAGGGCCAGTTGAAGGTACTTCCAGACAGCAGCATGTCTCGGATCAGCGTCTCGATGGGCGTCTTGCCCACTAGGCGCATGAAGAACAGCTGGGAGATGAGGGAGGCAGGGACAGCGCGCAGGGCAGGGAGCCGCAGCAGCAGGCGCCCAAAGCGCTGGGGCTGGGACGGGTACTGGGCCCGAACGTACTCGGTGAGGGCCACCTGTGCCTTCTCCTGCAGGCTCTCCACATGCGCTGGGTCCGACAGGCCACAGGCATCTGGGAAGACAAGGGCAAGGTCAGATGTGGTAGGATGAGGCAGGGCACAGGGTCCCAGAGGTGACTGGGGGCACCACTGGGCTGTGGATATGGAGGGAGGGGGGCACTCAGGAAGTGGGAGATAGGGACCTGGGACACAAATGGGGGTATCTAAGGCAGTATCAATCCTCAGGAGGTTTGGAGGTGGCCTTATCTGAGGACAGTAACACAAGGGTGCAGGCAGTGATACCTAAAGAGTAGATGGGGCCCCAAATGAGGCCTTGTCAGGGAGACAAGTTCTAATCAAGTTCAAGGAAAAGAGGGGGCTTGGGGAAGAAGGCAATCCCCAGAGGGGGCTGGGGTGTGAGTGAATGTGACAGTGTCTAGATGGGGCCCCTTGAAAGTGGGGAGCAGAGGAGTCTTCTGGGGAAAGAAGGCAAAGCATATTTCTCACATGAAAGCCACCTCCCAGAATGGCCTGGGTCTGGTTCCTGCTTCCCTGGCCCCAAGAAGACAGCTAGTGGGGTCTAGAACCTTCCAGATTACAGAGCCAGCTATGCCACCAGTCCCTAGAATTAGGCAGGGCTTTGGGGGCTGGACTGTTACAACTGGCAAGGAGGATATTTGGACAGCCTCGCCCCTCCTCAATGGGAAGGACCTCAAAGTCACACTCCTCAATCCACTGCAGCAGTGGTGGCCTGGAGGCTACCCTAGGGGCAGGTTGGGGGCTCTGCGTCAGAGGTCTGGGGTCAGAGATATCAGAAAGTAGGGGGCCCAGAACCAGGAGTCGGGGCAGCCCTGCCTGGCAGCCCTTCATAAGTGCTAAGTAGGAAGACCACCCTGATCGGGGAAACTAGCACCGGGGAATTTAGGGGAGACTGAGGATCAGGAAGTAGGGGGAAGAGGGGACCAGACCAGGTGTCAGGGACTGCCTCCCCCATGCCCTAGCCTCTCTGCCCGCAGTGCTCATTGAATGAAGAGTACTTTGACAAGGGGGTGGGGTGTCTCAGGGAGCCCAAAAATCAGGCAGAGAGGCTGTGGAAACCTGATTCACTAGTCCAAACCCAGCCTGGGGACCAGAGTCACAGTTCTTAGGAAGACCTGAGATCCGGGGTAGGGGCATCTGGGTGTCACACCTCCTATATCACCACCTCCACTGCCCCCATAAGCACTCAGAACAGGTGCGGGGCCACAGGTCTGGCAAGCAGGGGTTCAGGGAGTGGAGGCTATGGAGTGACCCGCACCCAAGTCCCCCCTTTGGAGCACATCTTACCAGGTGTGAACAGCGCAATGGCCTTGAGGCAGCCGTATTCTGCAGAGTCGACCTGCAGGCGGCCCAGCTTGTCCACCTGCTCCTGGAAGGCGCGCACCTGATCCATGAAGGCCACAGCACGCTCAGCAGCCATGGGCGCAGCGTGCAGACCAGCTGCGGCCAGCAGCGGCGCCGTATGCAGGGGCAGGGCAGCCTGCGCTGCGTTCAGCACAAACAACTCGCTCCAGCTCAGGCGCAGCAGCGCCACCTGGTCGGCCACCGGCAGGTCAGGGAAGAAGGGCGCGTGGCGCGCCCACTCCACTGTGCTGAACAGCAGTCGCGCAGCCAGCTCACACACATTGTCGATTCCCAGCACTGCGCCTGACGAACCGCCGCCTGCGCCAAAGCGCCCGGCTGCTGCTGGGTAGGGCTCAGCGCGCAGCAACTGCGAGATCAGCTCCGACACAGGCTGCCCGGGAAAGAGGTCCCCGCCCGCCACCGCTGCAGCCAACACCGAACCCGGGGGGCTGCCCGAGGAGGCAGCCACAGCGCCAGGCAGCGAGTGCGGGATGCGGCCACGCTGGACCGCTGGGAGAGGAGATAGAGATGGGCAGAAAGGAGGGGAGGGAGGAGAGATGAGGGACAGGAGATAGGAGAGAAAGATGATGGGGAGACAGAAGAGGGGTAAGGGGATGAGGAGTTAGGAAATGGGAGAGGAATGATGAAAATGGGCAAGGGGTGGGATGAAAGAACATGGGGAGGGTACAGGGGGTTGGGGAGAGAGGTGGCAGGAAAAAATACGGGAAAAGTTGGTATCCAGCGAATTGTGGGGGACAGGTAGAGAGAAAGAAAGAGGGAAAAACAAAGTCATAACAGAGTCACTCAGCCACCCACCCTCTAAGGCCCACCACACCTAGCCTTTCCCTGAAATCCCCAACCCCACCCCATGAGTACACAACTTGTTGAGGCC